CTATCCACACTGATAATGTGACCACAGTACAATTTATTTATTTGCTAATTTTTCAGATAGGTGCATGCTATACAGTCCAGGCTTGCTTCACTCTGGAAATCCTGCGGTATAGCCTGGCTGAGGGTGTGCTGAGGTTAAAGGTGCGCAAATTGCACCTGGCTTCGAAGGCTAATTTAAAAGAATTCCTGAGTTAATCCTGAATCACTTGTTGATTATCTAAAATCTACAGAGGTTTTTCCACAAGATAAAATTCTTTCCATTAAATTCTTAAAAAAAAAAAAAAAAATCTACCTTTAGGTGACGAAGTTGGAACCAGACAAAATAAAACAAGCCTAAACAATGTTATCAATACCCCTAGGAATTTAAATAAACTATATAAAAGGAGTCTAATCTGTAGCTACATTCAGCAAGCATGTGCCAACAAAGTAAGGAAGTGGCTCGGTGGCAACTCAGCTCTTGCAAACAGAGCTCTGAGGATGATGTATGCCATACTTGAAATCCATTTCTCTGTGGTCAAAAGCTCACACGCTTACTATTTTCATATTAAAACTCAAAGGCAAGGTATGTCCCGAAGGTTATCTTTGCAGAGCTTAAACGTTCTCACCAAAAGTAATGTTGAGACTCTATCTTTCTTCCTCCGTTTCTATTTAAGTTGGCTCAAAACACTCTGAAGGGGCATGCTGGTTCTCTGTCAGCAAAGCCTCAGTTTCCAAACTTACACATTTTGGGGGTGGGGGAGGGGCAAAGGTTCTTTTTATTTGTAGCCAGAACACATCCATTGGTGTTAATTTTCTGGTATCCTATCAGCACCGTCCCAAAGATCTGAGTGATTTCTATGATGGTGTTTTGCTTGCTTGTTTGTTTGTTTTTTAATGTGACATTACAAAGAGCCGGTCTTCTGGTAAAGGGGAGGAAGGAAGAGCAGACAGGTCAACTGGCTTCAATAAAAACACACATTTAAAGGTGCCTGGTTTGGACCTTAACACCAAGGTCCATGCCAAAGAATCTTTGTCCCACTTCCAGACATGCTGATGCATGCTTCCCACTGGCCACGTTTGGAGTGGAGTGTCTAGAATTAAGCATTTGCAGAAAGTTAAGATGGACCCCCTTGAGTCATCCTCAGATTATGCACAATGGAGAACGAGAAAATGGGGCCAGAGAGCCAGGGCCTCTCAGTTGTGGCCCAGGCCCTATTGCCTTTGAATCTTGGTTTCTTTATCAGAGTAACCTCCCAGAATTTCAGATAAATGACCCCAGGGCCCCTAGATCCAGACGCCCCTGTCTGGGAGAGGGAGAGAGAGAGAGGTGGGGCACCCATCTTCAGGAAACAAATTGCCATCTGACTCCTGTCCCCACATCCTGGGCCTTCAGCATCTTCATCGAAAGCTTCAGGAGGCTGGAGAGATGCCTCATCACTTAGGAGCTCTTGCTGCCCTTGCTGGCCTGGAGCTCCTTTCTCAATCCCCACACCAGCCAAATCACAGCCGCTCAGAACCCCAGCCTCAGGGATCCAACACACTCCTCTGACCTCTGGAGGCGCTTCCACACAACTGTGCTTACACATACATGCACACGTACACAAACAGAAAGAAAATAAACCTTCCTTTTTGAAAGTTTCCACTTAGACGCACTCACCACTCGACAATCAAACGTAAAATCGCTACACATACAACCATCTCAAACACGTTACCTTTTGCTATGTGTACAAGTTCATTTTTCACTAAAAAACAAAACAAAAAAAAAAAAAACAACAAAACAAAACTCGGCAGCCCTCCCCCCAATAAAGGCCAAAGAGACAAAATTCCAGTGGCCCTTAAAAGTAACAAGCACCAAGAAGGCAGAGGTTCTCTGGTATTTAACTTCCTTATATGGCCTACAGGTACTAGACCATTGTTTTGGTTGTTTGGTTTTTCTTAATATACTTTTTTTTACATTTTGATTTCTGAATGTTTGCATACATGCATGTGTATGCATATGCGTGTATATGGTGAGTGTGCGCGCGCATGTGTATGTGCGGTTGTGCCTGCCATAGACAACTTGCCAGAGTCAATTCTCTCCTTCTACCATGTAGGTTCAGGGTATCAAACTTAGGTCATGAGCCTGGCAGCAAGCACCCTTCCCTGCTGAGCCATCTTGGGGGCACCATGTTTCACTTTTCTACATACACATTACTTGTAGTAAAATTATGGAACAAATCGATCCGACCTATTTTACAAGGTGTTTCTGTATTATAATGGCATACTCTCTACCTGGACTCTCAGTGCCCCTGACTCTTGAGTAGAATGATATGGGAGGATTAGAATAAAAAAAAAAAAAAAATGGTTTCAGCAATGGGAAAGAAGAAAGAGAGCACCACCCTTGCTCAGTGCCATTTGGTTCTGTTCAGATCTCAGGAAACAGGAAGCGTGAACAGACCTGAATTTAAGCTGCTGCAGACAGGTGACTATGATAGTTATTTGCAAGCAAATCCCAAGTGTCTGATCCTTAAGGCGTAGGTACACTGTCACACCCCTGCCTGTACACTCAGTGGCACGTGAGTCAATGTGCAGAGGAGGGTATGTGGTAAGGCAGGGCCGTGGTAGAAATCCTTCGGGTCTAGTGTGGGTCTGCGGGCCAGGGTTGGCTGTGTGGACATGCCATTTCAAACCTACGTGTTTGAGTGAAGGAAGGGGTGTGAGTGTGGGCAGGTGTTGAGTGTGAGCGTGTGCAGGCATGTGTTAGTGCGTGTGCGCAATGTGAAGGTGAGGGTGAGCACAAGTGAGCATGCGTGAGCTAATGTGAACATGCCCAGATGCAGTGTAGTCCCGCTGCATGCACAGGGCAAGCCCAAGGAGAACTCGGACCGGTTTAGAAGAAGCACAAGCAGGTCTTTAGGCTTCATCTCCCAAACATCAAAAGAACAGCCCACAGGCCTCCCGGGCCGATCAAGATGTCTGGCCTTCCGCAGACAAAACAGCAGTCTTGAGTAATCGGTGAGTTTTGACCCAATGAGCAGATGGTTTGGCGTTCTAGATAGGCTCCCCCGTCACAATTAGCCCGAGACCTCTGTGCATAGCATAAGCTCTCAACCAAAGCACAAAAGTCCCTAGGATCCCATAATTTCCACTTGGTTACCCACACTCCTCTGACCCCAATACATGCACGCACACACATTTCTTTTCTACTCTCTCTTTCCCTCACAGCCTCACATGCTTCAGAGAGCACAGCTGGCAGGGGATTTCTTTTTCCCTAACTCCACTCTGTGGTTGTCAAAAAAACAAAACAAACAAACAAACAAACAAAAAAACGCCTTCAAAAATGGAGGGTAGGATGGGACAGCATCTCATTTGTGACTCCGGCCCTTTTAACTACCTTGAAAACACCAGTGACCTCCCCGGTTACTCATTTGGTATTTTACTCTGACAAACGAAGAAGAAGAAAATTTACCTGTCATTCTTTCCCTCCCCTTTAACTCACTTCCAGACAAGACTCTGTCTTCAAACATGGATGTATGAGCTGTTTAGATGAGCAGTGGGTAGGACCAGCTCAGCTACCACAAGAAAGGGCAAATGGAAACTGGGTAACAGCTCAGAGCTATTTGGGTGTGCCAGCCATGCTTCAGGGTTTCAAAACAGATGGGGAGACTGAGAGGAAGACCCCCCCTTTCACTAGTAGCTGCAGAGCAGAGGGCAGAGAAATTGGGCCTCGCCTTCAGAGAGAGCCCCATGATCCCCTCCAGGCAGGCTGCCTGCCCACTCCTTCTCTGAAGATGCTATGCTTGTGCCCGGCAGCAGGTGCCAGATGCCTGGAGCCCTGTCCTGGCCACAGAACGACAGGCTGATTAGGACTCTACTTTGCATTCACATTTGCCTCTAGATCATCAGCAGAAAGCAGAGTTCCAGGGAAAGAAACTGCTGACCTCCAAAACGAGACTGTGATTTCTGCAGTAGAAGCTGAAAAGAATGACGTCTTAAGAGTCCAAAATCTTAGTAAAGCACATTGAGCCAAACTGTAACGCACCCACTAAGGAAAGAGAAAGTTACTGGGGTACAAATGGGTGTAATCTCACGTTCAAGATGAAACCAGACGGCTACCCACTAAAATACCATGCAGCTTTCCCCCACAAGATAACCCTACAACCTCTTGAATGCCAGGTAAGGAAATTCCCCATCCTCCCTGGAGAGACAAGAGAAAGGCCATACCATTTTAGAAGTGCTAGCTTCAACAAGTGCTAGCTTACATCTAGAAGCGACTGACCTCAGCCCAAAGCTGAGATTAACCATATAGTAGGAATGAGGATCTGTCCCCGCCACAGACAGAGTCAGTGTAATGAACCCAAGCACACATGTAGACATGTGCCCAAAATGGAGCCGATTTATATTCCTCAGCAGACACCAAGTGCCTAACTGAGACAACTCAATCCCAATGGAGCATTCTGCTGCAAAAGAAAACACCTATTTGATTCAAAAGATGATTTTCATTTTAATTCACACATCACACTGCACTTCAGTCACGCCGACTCCAGTGATACTGCCAAGGCCCGCCTGACTTACGAGTAAGGCTCAGAGGTTGCTCATCCCATATATCAACCACACAACCACATCGCCAGAGGTCAGGGGCCTGTCACAGAACTGTTTCATTCACATTGGCTGAGCTAAGCCAACAGCTACCCTTGCCAGCCTGAATGAATCATGAAATCAAGTGTTTCATTTCATCAAGTGAAAGCAACATTCAGCAGCACTGGTCACTATCTTTGGAAATTAGGAAGGTTTGTTATGGTTGACTTTCACGACGTGTATGTTTCTTCAAACCTGTTTTTAAAGATGTGTGTAGTAGGAATGACTCAAACTCACTGCCCAGTCTACAAAGGACTTGGTTGGTGCCTCTGTGCCCACAACAAACTCTCCTGTAGAGAAAAATTAGTTGAGTCTTTACCGCTCAGCAAGAAGAAAACCAGACTACATGGAGCATCCAAGGTCTGCTGAAAGCATGAATTCTAAAAACTGCTTGGTAACACTCACCACTCTGGGCTTCTGCTGGTCCAGGGTATGCAAAAAGGCTGAGTTGGGGTCCAGGGTACGCTCAGGGTCGCTGGAGATGTCCTCCTCTGAGTCCTCATAGGAAGAGGAGAAGCCAGTGGAGGAGGCAGAGGAGGATGACAGCTTCCTCAGAGGCAGGGGACCCCGAGGGCTTCCTTGGATCTCCTCTAAGCCCCCATCCTCCTGAGCACCCATGTCTGTGATGATGACTGAAGGGATGGACGGGATGTTGCTGGAGCTGCAAGCCTCTTTTAAGGAGGCCTTGTCCTTCTGGTCTGGAAGCATCTCTTGGCAGCTAGGGTGAGTATCTCTGTCATGCAGCTGGCTTCCCCAAGCCCCCTTCAACTGTACCCCTGTGTCACACGTCCAGATCGTGGGGGCCTCCTCCCCGGCACTCTGCCAAACCATGGGGCTTTCAGGCTGCACACCCATCCTGTCCCCGGGGAGGCACTGGGGTCCTTTCAAATCTTTTGCTACCACCCCAGGTGGTAAAGGTTCCAGCATTCTGCCACAGTGAATCCCTGCATCCACATCCTTGGTCCCTGGCTGTGCTGCCTGGCTGCCGCCGGGCAAGCCCAGTGCTGGAGACTCCCCTCTCACAATGTCCAGGGTCTGCTGGGGTCCACTTCCTGCCTCCTCAGGACCTACGGCGCCCGGGTCTCCAGGCAGCCTAGACCATCTCGGGTCCTCCAAGGGCTCTGAGCTCTGGGAATTCACAGTCCTCTCTTCTGGCCTTTTGATGACTTCAGGTGTCCGGGAGCCCTGACCACCAACAGAATGAATTCCTCTTCCCCCTCTCCCAGGGGGTTCCCTAATGTGGGTCCGGCCAAGCTCTGGGGCTGAGCCTGTCTCCCTGTCCGGAAACTGGCCCCATCTCTCGATCTGGGCCTCCCAGGGGCGCATACCCCCGAGCTCGCAGGCTGCTTCCATGGGGGCAGAATCATGTCCAGGGTGTGGTCCTGCGGATGCGGCTGAAGCTGCCATTTTAGTGGCCAATGCTAAGCTAGTTCCAAAGCCCTCCAGTGAGGGAGCGACCCTCTTGTTGATTTCCATGGCTGTGGGTGAGCCACAGCGAGGACTGGCCGGAGTAGCCCTCTCCAGCCTCACTGAAGCACATGGACCCTGAATCCCTAACCTGGTCGGGCTGGCTGGGACTAAAAGAGGGGCCACTCCCTCCCTGTCCTTCGACGGATGTGTGCTGAGTCTGCTTCTCCTCTCGGAGCTGGCGTCTGGGGTCTCTGTACATTGTTCTCCCCAGGACTTTGTCCTCCGTTCCTCACTTGGGGCGCACTGAGCCAAAACCCTTCCGGGGGGCTGGCTGCTGCTTCTGAGGGGGCACGGGGAGGGCGAACGAGCCCTGCCCAAACGCGGGCTTCGGGGCACTTGGACGGCAGAGCTCTGGGCCTGAATCTGCGCCTCAAACATGCCCACTTTCTGGTTCACCTGCACGTTCTGCAATTCGCGCTGCAGAATCCGCAGCTTCCTCTGGGCCTCCTCCGGCCCGGGTGGGGAGAGGGTGCGAGCCGCCACCACCTGCTGCGCGTCCCCTCGCAGGCGGCCAGGCCAACTGGGACTGCTCACGCCGCTGCTGCTGCTGCTGCTGCCACCGCCACTGTCGCTGCTACTATTCAGCCTGCGCCGGCCGCTGCGCCAAGCCCCAGGGCTCCGGGGCTCCTCCGGCGACAGTGACTCTGCCGGGGGGAAGAGGAAGGAGGCGCCTCTCCCGGGGCTGAAGACGCTGCCGGGGCTCAGCGCGGCCCTCCCGGAGGCTTGAGGCGTCTCGCTGCCGCTGGGCCGGGGGCCGCCACTCTTGAGCTCGTTGGAGCTGTTCATGATCACCAGGCTGTTGAGGGCATAGCAGTACACAGCCATAGTACTGAGTCCGCCCGCCGCCGCGGCTCTCCGTCCCGCTCCGCCGTCGGCGCCTCCTCCTCCCGCGGCTGCCGGCTTAGTCCCGGAGGCCCGGCGGCCGCGGCTCCGCGCGCCAAGGGAGCAGCATGGCCTAGGCGGCGGGCGAGGGCCACTACTGCGGGCTCGGCCCCCGCCCCAAGCTCCATAAACAATCTCGAGGCTGTGGAGAAACAAGGAGAAGAGTCAGGACTCCGGAAGGCGTCGACGGGAACGTGGCGAGGGTGCCCACCCGCAGAGGCCCCCAGGCTGCTGGGGAGACAGGGTGCCCCTGGAGGGCTAGCCTACAGGGGCTGTGATGCTCAGCTTGGAGGCATGCTGGGCCACCTCGGTGGCCTCCGCTCGCGTCTTCCAGCCGTGGTCCACCTCCCCAGCGCGTGAGACGCTCTAAGAACACTTAGAATCCCAAATTCTAAGGTTAGTCACGGCAGCCACGCGGGATGGCCGAGGGAGGAGGTCCAACTGCTGGGTCCCTATGCAAGGCTGGCCAGGTGCCTTTGGCCAGGGTAAGCACCGGCTATCGAGGATGACAGGCATCACTGCTCCACCCTCTCAGGACGACAGGGACCAAGTCACAGGGAACCTGACCCGGACCTGCCTTCCCCAAACCGCTGCTTGAGCCAAGACCTGGAAGGGCGCTTAGGTGCCCGCCGTTTTCTTTCCCGACCCTGGGGCTTAGGGCTGTGTCTCTCGGCCTATGAAAGGCCTGGGAGAGCGCAGGGCACTTTTAAGCACTTAGCTTGATGCCTGTCCGTCTCCAAACAAGTGTGTTTTGTGAAAGTGGGCTCAGGCGCGCGCACGCAGGCGCGCGCGCCCGGGACCAAAACTCCGCAGTATCCTGTACCGGAATCGATACTGGAGGCCCCCTACGGTCCCCTCACCCCCTGCAGCGTGTGTGTGTGTGTGTGCGTGTGTGTGTGTAGGGGGTGGAAGGGGGCCGTGCATGCCCGCAGCCTCTCCGTCCTGCGTGCATCCTCTCAGCAAGGACCCAGCTAACCCCGCAGGCTCCGGGACCCACACCCCCCGAGGAACTCCCGGCTTGCTCGCGCGGCTGCAGCCCGGAGGCCTCCCGAGCTTACAGGCCTGAGAATCTGCAGCCCCGCCGAGTCCGACAGCTAAGCCCCCCGGAGCGGTGCGGCCGAGGGCAGGGCCCGCCCGGCACTCCGAGCCCCGGACGCCCGCAGCGCGCCGGGGAGGCGGCGCGGCGGCCCGGAAGGCGGTGAGAGAGGCGGCTCGCCTCCGCTGCCCCCAGAGTCGCTCCACGCCACACTCCCAAACCGAACGCCCTCCCCTCTGCGCTGCGTTCGGACCCCGGAACACCCAGAGCAGCCCAGCACAGATGGAGCGGAAAGAGGGCTCCGAAGCAAGGGCCGGGAAGGAGCCGCCACGCTTACCTGCAATTGCTCAAACTCCCAGGTCCCGTGCCGGCGACATGCCTCAGGGACTCGGGGCTCCCACAGACCAGGTGGCTTAAAGCAAAAAAAAAAAAAAAAACGTCCCCAAGGGATTTCCGCAACAACTTATGGAAGGAGAAAAAAGTGAGGTGCAAGAAGGGAGAATGTTCCGGCGCAGGGGCCAGACGATCCCGGAGGGGCCAACGCCAGGCCGACCCTGCGCGGCTTCTTGCTTGGTTGGAGATACGACCGCTGTCAGCGTCTGCTCCCGGCTACTTCAGTGTTTGTTCAATGTAAGATTTAAAAAAAAAAAAAAAAAAGTTGGGGGTTGGGGAGGAGGCAGAAAGGCGGGGGCTTGGGGGAGGAAAGCAGGAAGGAAGTTGTGAGCCTGTCTGGGGTTGAACTCAGCGGAACAAGTTTTTCTTTTCTTCTTTTTTTTTTTTTTTTTTTTTTTCTATTGCTTGGCAAGACCGAGGGAGGGAAACACTTTAAAAAAAAAAAAAGTTTCCATTGTTAGCTAACCAAAAAAAAAAAAAAAAAAAGGCTTTTAACTTCTGTGGGTTAAAGCTATACGATTTATTTTCCACTCTCAACTTTGCTGGTGCCTAGTTTATAAATCTCCTTTTGAAAGCTGTTTTTAATAAAGTTTTGAGTATTTGTGCTAAACAAAGGCGCTAGTGAGGGAGCTTTTAGCGTTTAGAAGGGGGTAAGATTCTGCACGAACAGCTTTCGTGCTTGTACACCGCACAATAGGCAACGTTTAGAAGGTCTGTTGCAGGGCATTTCCTTGCACAGTTGCAGATTGTTAGTGCATCAGGGAAGTATTTTTGGAAGGCTGTGAGCAGCTGAAGGGCTCGCAGTGTGGCTGGTGGATGTGTGAAGGAGCTCCGCGATATGCATTTGTCTATAAATGCACAAAGCGACTGTGCCACTCGCATATTTTTGCACTCAGTTCTCAAAAGTTATTTTAAGAAAACGCATGGTCCTGGAGCTGTGGCCTGATCGATATCTGAAGCCGCTTGCTCAGTCTCCTGTGAATTTTTCCTGTTTTCAAGCGTTCAACTCCACCCTCAAATAAATGGGGAGGGACCCCACCATACACACACACACACACACACACACACACACACACACACACATACACACACAGAATTAAGCTCAGCACTGCAAGTGTGTTTTGCATAATTCCCTAAATCTTAAACCCTTAACATCTAGTGAAACAGGAAAACACAGCTGTGAGGCTCAGGAGATTTAAGAATCCAAAGCTTGAATCTGCCCCTGTATCCTGATTAGCCAAAATTCAGATGGAAAACCTGACTGCCTGAGGCAAAGGACGGCTGGCTTCTTACTTGTTTATGTAACAACACTGGAAGTGAACAAAGCAACCTGCTGCCTGGTCAGGAAGAGACTCAAGCAAATTCCACACCAAGAGCTTTTCCAACCAAGAGTTCCTGCAATCAGACTCGTCCTTTCTGATTTTTTTTTTTCTTCTTTAAAAACATGCCCTGAAAGGACTGAACCTGATTTCCCTCCCAGCCGCAATGAGGCGGGTTTTATCTAGAGTTATCCCGAGACAAAGAAGCCACCTCCATCTATACTCCTCTCCGTCCCTAATGGCAAGAAGAAGGGTTATCCAGCTCAGAAGACTCAAGCTCTGGAATCTAATCTGAGACGTGATTGCCCAAGAACCATGACAAGTGTCACAGCAGAAGCAACTGAAGAGTGTAGCAAAGCACACACGAAACACGGAGGACGGCCTTCCCAGCTGCTGAGAGGCTGGTCCAGTTGCTATCACCTCACACAGGCGATTCCATCAGCCTTCCCGAGCTGAGAACGTGCTTCCTGAATGTGCGCTTAATCTCTGAGTAGTCCTAGGCTTACCAGTGACTGTCAGGTATGACACTGTAGATGGGACTTGTGACTTGGATGCAAGTGACATGGAGAGGGCTTGGTTGGGTGGAAGTCCCAAATTTGGAAGTCAGCATGAATCCAGCTGGCTCCCACAAGTTAAAATGAAGGTAACATTTCAATGTAGTATTCGCTACTTTCCAGACACTGTTTTAGGGCTGTGAATACAGGACTGGGGATATAAAATAGGTGACAGAATGCCTTCCCAGCATGCACCATCCCTGCATTTGATCCTCAGCACCACATAAGCCAGGCCTGTTGGCACAGTGACACACACCTGTAATCTCAGCACTGCAGAGATGGAGAAAGGAGGATAAGAAGTTCAAAGGTCACCATCAGCTACCTAGAGCGTTTGAAGCCATCTTGGGCTACCTGAGATGCTGTCCCAGCAACCTCTGCCCTGCCCCTAACGCACACACCAGAGAAAGAAAAACACAATTTATGTTGTTTTCAACCTTATAAAAACACTGTCAGGTAGGCGCTGTTACAGGCCTCATTTACACAAGACAGAAAAGCCCAAAATGACAAGACCTTTGACCAACATGGGCACAATTCCCACTCCCAATACCACAGCTGATAAAGCTTGATCAATGCCAGGGCAACCGTTCACAAAGTCTGTGCTTGCTGCTGCTCCTCACACCGGTTTTTTACAGCTAGGTACTCCCTAACTTTTCTGAGACCTCATTTACTCACTTTTGGAATGGTATTTTAATGATCAGAGCTGTAAAATTTGTATGTAAAAAAGGGTAGCTGTGTAAAATCTTTCACTAGCATCGCACTTAACAAGGAAGGGCTGGGCAGCTGTTCTTTACAACGAGGAGGTTGGGGTGTCTGCGCTTTCCACTTCTGTTCAGCGTTGTACTCGGAAAGCTGAGTGAGATGGCACGCGCCTATAATCCCAAAGTTCCAGTGGCAAATACATTGCAAATTCAAGGCTAGTCTGAGCTACGTGAAACCCTGTCTCAAAAGACCAAGACTTTGTATTTGATGGTGGAGTCACACAAGAAAGAAACAGAAGGTATTTAAGCTGAAAGAAGTAAAACTATTACATATATATATTAGATAATATGCATGTCTGCAGAAAAAAATCTAGTGGAACTAATAAAAAGCTACTAGAAATGTAAGCAAATTTAGGAAACATGTTATATTTCTGTTATATATTGTTGTTGCTAAGAAAGGTTGCTAACAACCTGGTTAGTTGAAACAACAGAGACTTGTTTTCTCCTAGGGCTGGCAGGGTTGGTTTCTTCTGAGGCCCCTCACCATGCCTTACAGAAGACTGTCTTTCCTCGATCCTCACGTGATTTTCCTCTATGAGCTCCAGGGTTGATTTCCCCTTCTTGGAAGGTCGCCAATCGTATTGGATTAGGGCACAGCATACCTAGCTTAACGTTAATTGCTGTCCAAAAGCAAACTGTAGGTTTGGAGGTGCTGGAGTTAGGACTTGACCATGTAATTACCTTTTAACAGCAAGGTTGAAGGGCACAAGATCAATAAACTTGGCCAGTTGTATGCCTCTCAGAAATTTAAAAATGCTTACAGTAATAGCACCTTGTAATAATGTCAAAGACTGTGAAATATTTAGGGATAAGCATGATAGATCATGAATAAGTCCTATAGGGAAAAAAAAAAACACAAAACACTGCCAAGATAAATGGATCGATATACCATGTTCTTAGATTAGAGGACTCAATATTCTTGATGCCACGCAAACACAACATCCCAGTGGATTTTGATTTGTTTTTATTTTATAAGCGTCATAGGGAAACACAAGGATTTAGATGAGGCAAAACAGCTTTGACAAAAGAAAATAGAAAAACTAACATCACCTGCTTCAGAAGTTACTATAAAACAGGGGTCCTCAGGCTACTCTTCCGGAGCACCTGAATTCAATTCCCAGCACCCACACAGTGGCTCACAACCATCGGTACCTCCAGTCCCAGGGAATCCAAACCCCCTTGTGGCCTCCACAGGCACGGCATGCATGTGTGAACACACACATTCAGGTAAAACACCTGTGCACATAGAATAAAATGGGGGGGGGGGAGTGTCTTTAAATTTATGTAAAAACCTAAAACTTTCATAAGAACACGTAGGAGGGGCTGGGGTGTTGTTCAGGAGGTAAAGTGCCTAGACTTCACAAAGCGGGGTCTGAGCCCTAGGGCCACATAAACTAGGTGTGGTGGCATGTGCAAGTTCAAGGTCAGCCTCTTACACGAGACCTTGTCTCCAAGAGAAAAACGGAAACCTCTTGACACTTTAGGTAAACAAATCTGTGTGTGTGTGTGTGTGTGTGTGTGTGTGTGTGTGGTGTATGTACATGTCTTTGTGGACGTAGACATGTAGAGATGTGCATGTGGAAGTCAAAGACCAATATAGATCTTCCTTTCCTTTTTTTTCTTTCTTCTTTTCCTTCCTTCCTTCCTTCCTTCCTTCCTTCCTTCCTTCCTTCCTTCCTT